TCAAGATATTGACATTTAAACATTTATATTTCCATTGATTCTCCAACTGAATATGTTTGCATGAATGTAGAGTTTTTTGTCAGAGAGTTAAGACTCGACTAAACGTCTTGTGTAAACACATTAGTTGCTTTGGGAAGCTTTACTTCGCCACAGCAGTGCTTGAAGCTAGATGCTAATGTCAGCTTGCTAACAAGCTAATGGCATTGTTGATATGCTGATGTTAAGTGTCTAAAATGTTTACTATGTTCAGGGTCTTAGTTTAGCATGCTATTATGCTGATAGCTGTTAATAACTCTAAACACGAAGTGAATATCACTAGCGGAGAAGTCAGGGGATCAGCAAGGCAGAAAGCTCCATCCTCCGGATTATCATGAATGCCAGCACTTCTGCATTTCTGGCATCTAGCAATTTGTTCAGATTTCACAGTCAGTACAGACATTATAAAACATTTGCAAGATCTGTCATTGATAAAATGGGACAACATCTGTTCAATTCATGTTTAATGACTTTTTCGCTATTAATAAATGCTAAGTTAACATAATGATGTTCCTAACAAGTTGTCCTCTCATAATAATAACAGAAAATAATGTTAAAAAAAAGCTACAAACAGGTAATTAATCCCATAAAATATAAACATATCACCAATTTCATGGTTAAGAATATGGTGATGACAATGATCATTTTTCTTTAAAAGGGTTCACTGTATCAAAGGAATACATGTCTTTTCATTCAAGTCCTTTTCTATATCTCTAAAGGCTGTTTCCTGTCCCTGCGTTGCTGCGGCAACCCTTCCTGTGCTTCTATCATTACACAGCAGGCTCCCTCCTACAGCAGCCAGTCACATCCCGCACCATCCATCCATTCATCCATGGGCCCATCCTTCCATGCGTCCGTCCATCTATCCTTTTATCCACATTTCTCCACTGACTAGTTGTTGCATTATTCTAAAAGAAAAAGATGCAAGAAAAAAACAACATTATCTCAGTCCCCCGTGGAGTTCACAGACACTCAGAAACATCCATCAAAATAAACAAGAGTGAGAAGAATTAAGATTAAGGTAAAAAAAAGAAAAAAGAAAGGGAGATATAAAGAGTAAATAGACTATAAAGAAGGCAGATCAATCATAAAGGAGAGAGAGAAGGTCAGAGAGAGAGGGCTTGCTTTTTGTTTAAACCCAAATTCCTACAAGGCTGTTTTTGTGTCTGTCAGCGGCTTTTTATCTTTTCCTTGCGGGCAAACACACACACACACACAAAATGTCAACTCGCTATGTTAACAGAAAAGGATGTCCTCATTTTGTATTTCCTTTTTATTTTTTGTATTTATATGAATACATATTGAAGATATTTTAGTATAAAACCACTTGTTTAGCAGTCCCCTCAGTCCCTACTGTGCTTCCTCATGTTAGTCTCCCTCGTTCCTTTTATTCAACTTATGTTTCACATTTCTCTTTTGCATTATATCCTTCTTCTTTCTCTAAACGCTTCTGTCCCATGATGTGGTTTCTTTATGTTCTTTATCAGGACAAATCACTTCCGAGCTGTTACCCGAGAAGCCAGGAAATTAAACCATAAAAGATGGAGGGAAACATCGGAGGACATTTTTTCAAACTTCTGTCACAATATCTCTCTCGTGTTCCTCCTTATATCTTCTATAACCCATGTGTCATTCCCCCAATGCTAAGGGGACTTTTATCAATCGTACTATCATACATTAGTCATGGGGATGGCCCTCACTATGCTTCTCTAACCATTTCAATATCTCTTTCTTTGGTCTGTGGTTGAGGGCAGAGCTCGACATTGCTCAGAGGGACCAGCTGCACATTAGATGAGCCACAGCTGAGGCAATATTTGAAGAATTATTTTTGAAGAATAACTTCTTGTTAGAATACCAATCGGATTGCCATATTCAAATTTTAAAGCTTCATTAATCAATATTTTGACATAAAATATAGATCGACTTATTAATTAAACGTAATGATGGATGACGCTTGTTGTGATGAACCAAAACAGAAAACGCCCACACTGGGACAGTTTCCGGCTCAAACTTTGTTATTTTGGTTCACTCTCATTGCTCTTTCTATATTGTTATTTATAGATTAATCAGGGAACTTTTAACAGGAAAAAGGCTCTGATAAATCCACAATATTCCATCATCCCAGATTAAAAGGGTTGTACGAAGAAATAAAGTGAATAAATGATAAACTTGTTGAGCTGAAAAAAAAGTCAATAAATAAACATGAATAAATATTTCAACTAAATAAATGAGGGACTCACAAAAACATTTTAAATGAATGAACTTCAAATTACAGAAGCAAAGGCCCAGATATCTTAAACCTAGTTAAACATAAAAATGACTGAAACTAAATGAAATATACTTTTCAAATTTCGGAAATCTTCCCCCAGAGATATGATATAACTGTTTTCGCTTTGCATAGACAGGCTTTTCCTTCTCATGGAGAGTAGATGGACCTTTAACAGTGAAAATCAGTGATACCATTTTCTTTATGTGTGTGTGTAGTTGTAGCATGGATTGTAAGGACGACAACACCTTTCAATGAGGCTGTAATAAAACAGCAAAGAAAGGGAGGGAATTCAATTAAATGGGAAATGCTGTCTCTAGTTTGGGTGACCTGCCCTTTAACCACAGCTTAGCTCAGCAATTGTTCAATTTAGATAAAGCTCAGAAAGAACCCTCGAGAGAAATCTATTTTTATTCTCCTCTTTTCAGTCATCCACGGTCTCTGCAGCTGCTTTAATATGATTTTCTTTATCATACACCATTATCAAATAGTTAAACGCTGGTACCAATATGAGCTGTTATTGAATTTGGCCAAGCTTAGAATTGTTACCAGCAATCACAAACGAAAACTGGCTGGGTCATCTTTGTTGTAAAAAAACTGGCAACATAATAGTGCAAAGAATGATCTAATTTAGGGTGTAGGCTCATCAAAGTTAAACAGCTAGGACAATGTTTGGGATGGGAAGGGTTGGAAGACAAACAGGCACAATTGAGAAGGAGGATCTGTTTAACTGAGAAAGACAGGAAGAAGAATGACCCTGATGATGGAGAGAAGTAGACCCAAACACGAAGAAATACCTACAAAGACAGAAAGAGGGTTTTAGAGAGACAGACAGGCGTAGAAAGAAATCAAAACACATACAGATGATGAGGAGGTGGAGGAGGGCTGATGAAGTCATTGAGGCGTGTAGGAAAGTATGGTGAGAATATGACCCATAACTGAGACATGATGTAGCGAGACGGCGCTGCCCTACATCACACTCTGAGCTGAAATGTAGCAGAAATTAATATGAGGAGCTCTGTCAATCTGTCCTTTCTTTTTTCTCAAGCCAATGTCGAACACAAGATAAGAAACATGCTTTACCGTAACAGCAACCAATTTCACTATTTACATAGTCCCTCTAACATGGTTATTTCTTTCTCCATTTGCTATGCGGTTTGAAACACCAGAAGTCTCCTGAGGTCTGAGGAGTTTGTTTACAAATGTGTGGGTGAAGATTTGACTTCATCACTTCAACCTAGCTTCTCTCACTTTTCTTCCTTTTGGCAGATTCTTCTCCAGTTTTTGTGTTTTTTTCTTCACTCATTTGCAAAATTAATTGAACACATACAGAATAAAGACCCAAAATACACACCCACCCCCACACACACCATCATCATCATTTCTCCGTCCTTCCCGACCTCCAGGCCCATCCTTCCTCCTTGTCCCTTGCTCCCATACCCGGTCTTTCACACTACATTATAGAACAGCTTTCATTTAGGTATGAATATTAGATATTGCTTTTGAATAATGGAGAAAGACCTTATGTGAGGAATCTGCAGACATAAGGAGAAAAAGGACAGTGGTACTCGTAGGTCTTCACTTGCACATTTAAAATAGTCCAATAAAAATGACATTCTCAGATCCAAACTGTTCCATTAAATAAATGATTAACTTAAAGTGCAAGTCAAGAAGTGAGGTGTGTGTCTTTCTTCGTGTTAGGAGACGGAAAGATTCTCCGTATTATTATTCCAGGAACTACTGCAAATCTGAAATACTGCAGAAATGAGCTAATGTTTATTCAAAGTGACACATCTGCTTTTAAAATATAAAAGGCCTTTTTTTTTACTTGAATGCAATGTTATTAACCTTCTTAAACGGTGGTGCTTTGACGTATGAGACAGCAGTTAAGGTTTTGAAATGTTCCACGTGACTTCCACAATAGTGGAGACAAGCACAAACACATATATGATGTTTTTTCTTAGTTCATGGAAGGTCAGGTTTTGAAATGTATATAAATAAATGTGTCATATTGAGAGATAACAGGGCAGAGGGAGAAAGGAAGGCAAGGTTGAGGAAACAGGAAGAAACAAATAACAGAAGCTCTGAGGTGCCGGAGTTACTTTAATTTGAAGGAAGTGATTCACTGCTGTGCGTGTATGCGTGTGTGCGTGTGTGCGTGTGTGCGTGTTGGTGTCAGCTATAATAGTTTGTTCTGGAAGCATGGAAACCTCCTGGCACACTTTATACTAAAAGACTATTCAATTACCTGAATTACCTGGTGCAGAAGCTGGGAGCTTATCTACACACACACACACAGTCACACTGCCGTCACAAACAAAAAATGCAGAGAGCGTTACAGACACACACACCAAACATCAACAAGTCAGAGAAAACACAGATTTGAGTCGCATTTAAATGAGATTAAGAGCTTTACTTCCCAAGTGCCGTATACTAGTAGGGTTTGCTTTGTGAATCTTCTCTGACACACACACACACACACACACACACACACACACACACACACACACACACACACACACACACACACACACACACACACACACACACACACACACACACACACTTTGGCCTCGTGGGAGTTGGTGGCTACATTGGTGGTTCTGGTGATCAGCAGACCACAGTGACAGTTTGAATAAAGTTAAATGCATTAACACCCACAGGAGGA